CACTGCTGAGGGGAGCAGCGGGCGGGTCAGGAGAGGTCTGCCTCGCCATGTGGTCACCTCCAGGGCAGGCGGGAATCGAACTCATGTGGAAGTGGTCTCAGCTTCTCAGTGCAGTGCTTTAACCCGCTGCGCCACCAGGGAGGGCCATGAAAGATTTTTAAGAGGATGGTTTTTGTACCTTTATATTTATCACAAAATTCCAGTAAAACTATAAATGTAAAATAGAGGAGTTATTTTTATTTTATACAACACAGTGAAAGTCTAAGATCTATAATTATGCCAGATCCCAAAAGCTGTAAGTGTGGAATAAGTCTGCCCTATGGCTTTAGAGTAAGGAGACATACTTTTAACAGCTATCCAAAATCTTGGATAGGAATGAACTGTAAAGTGTAGAAAGATAAATGAGGTGTTGCTCACATCAAAGCATTAAGAACTTTCCTTTTGAAGTGGGAATACTTGGCAGACACATTTTCATTGGCTTTTAACTTCAGTAGGAAGAATGGCTCATATCATAAATGTAGAGAATTATTTAACTGATAAAGGGATTTAGAAGTCACATCAAAAATACGTGATGTTTTTAATGATCAAAAGCAAAGTGTTTCCTCCCTCATTTAATTTGATTTTGATTTTAAAGTGTGAATTCCTTTACTACTTAAATTTTTATTTTATTTATTTATGCATACAGGAACTGGGGTCTAGGCCAGAGGTACAGGGGGAGGGAGGTATTAGAGGACTCACCAGAGACAGAGTGGGGAGCAAAACTGGCAAATATAACAGAACACACTGCTGAGGGGAGCAGCAAGCAAGATAGAAGAGGTCTGTTGTACCATATGGGTCTGCTTCCTGTTCAGGGATTGAACTCATGATGCAGGGGCTGCTGATAGCTTGATAGCTCTGAGACTAACCCCTACATCACCAGGGAGGCCCTTCTTTACTTCTTGCCTAAGGAAAGAGTATATTTGTTAAAAAAGCATCAGTCAGGTATGGAAGGCTGAAGTCAAGATGTAGAAGAGCCGTAGTTCAGAATAATTTTCTCAAGTGGTACAAACACAGTTCCATGAGTATCAGGAGTGTCTCCACTTTCTTTCAACTTTCACTGAGAAGATCTGCATCTAACTTTTTACCCAATTATTGTATTTTCAGGCCGATTATGTTAAGAATTATATATATAAATATTGTGAATAAAAAATAACTCTTAAAGTTGTTAAAGCAACCTTATACAATAAGCTATATTTGGTTATTGTGAGCACTCAAATTTTTTGAGCAATTTTATAGCTTAGGAGCTATGACAATAAAACATGTATTATATGAAGTAATACTTAAGAATTAAATTCCTCTGAGATAATATAAAACTTTTTAGAAGATACATATGCATTCCATCATCACATCCATCTGAAGTCCAGATAGCAAGGACATATAAACAAAATGAGATCTTGGAGATGTTAAATGCTAATAATATTCCTCAAAAATATCTTAAGTGGATTGTCACTAATGTTCCTAGTAAATTACTCAAAATAACCAATAAATGAATGGTTAAAACAAAATGTAGTCTTATCTATACAATGGAATATGATTTAGTCTTAAAAAGGAAGGACATTCTGGGATCTCCCTGATGATACAGGAGTTAAATCTCAGCACTATCAAGCTATCCACAACTACTATAGCATGAGTTCGATTCCCATCTAGCATGACTAACATGGTGCAGTAGACCTCTCCTGTCTTTCCCGCTGCTCCCCTCAGCAGTGTATCTCAGTCAGTCTGCCTGTTCTGCTCTCCACTCTGTCTCTGCTGAATCCTCTCACCCCTGCACCACAGTTCTTATATACATAAATAAATAAATCTTCAAAAAAAAGGAAGGACATTCTGACTCATTCTCGGATGAACCTCTAAGTTACTATGCTCTGCGAAGTAAGTCACACATAAAAGGGCACATTTTGACTGATTCCACATATATGAGGTCCCTAGAGGAGTCATATTTATAGAGAAGAAAGTAGAATGGTGAGTGCCAGGGTTGGGGGTAAGGGTTGAAGAGTTAGTGTTTAACAGATGCAGTTTCAGTTAGGACAAAGAGAAAGTTCTGGACAGGGTTGGTGTTGATGGTACACAACGTGAATGTACTTCATGCCCCTGAACTGTACACCTGAAAATGGTTAAACAGTACACCTTATGTCATGTACATATTTTACCATCACTAAGTGATCAGATAAACTTCTTGTAGGTTTATAATGAAAATATCCATTGCATTTCTTACTATTGTAACAAGGATAATGTTTTGAAAATATTCATCTCCCATATTCTTCGTGTCCTGAAAATCGTGTTTTTTCCCCCAGGAAAACGAGAGTTGAGAATGGATAGGCCATCTGTGGCTAGGGATTAGTTAAATGGTCCTGCCATCTGGGTACACTGCATCCTGGAAGGAACGAAGACACAGCTGGCTCACAGAAATGAACAGGACCAGCCCAGCCAGGATGGGCAGTGAGCCTGGGGACCATAGTCCCATGGGTAAAGCCAGATGATGGGCCCTACCACTGTTAAGATTTTTCAGGAGACAGCCAGCAGGGCGGCCAGTAACACCTTGACAGAGATCAAGAGGACCTGCTCTTGGCCCTACTACCCCAACCCAACAAGGGCAGATACCATCTAAGCATCCTGACACCATCTTAGGAAGAAGGCCAAGGAAGTTGATGATAACCTTGAATTGTTTAAATATTTATCCCAGAGATTGATCTAAACTGAAAATTTTTGATCTACGAGAGATGGCCATACAGTTAATTCTATCATTCATGCCATGGACACTGGATTAAGATGTAAGGCACCATTCCTCCTGGCATTAATTCAGCCTTAGGGGGCCTCCATGGTGGTGCAGTGGGTTAGGCCACAGCACTGTGAGGCTACTTGCAGCCTCTGCAGCAAGATTTAGATCTCTGGGCAGGGAGGTGACCCACATGATGCTGCAGACCTCTCCTGTCTTGCCCGTTGCCCCCCTCAGCAGTGTATTTCAATAGATCTGCCTGTTCTGCTCCCCACTCTGTCTCTGCTCTGGTGAATCCTCTCACCCCCCTCACCTCTGGCCTGAACCTCAGCTTTTGTATGCATAAATAAATGTCTTTAAAAAAAAAATAAAGGCTTAAGTTCCCCAGAGCCTCTAATCACAGTGTCATCTACCATCAATACATAACCTTGTTTTATGTATACTTCTGTCTAAAGACACCTATTTAAATATGTGTTGTTGATCCACTGACATTGAATTCACAGCCAACAGTACGTAACTCACGCTGGAATGAGGCTTATCTCACCCATGTATTTTCTCCATATGGCACATCATAGCCTTTTTGCTCGTAGGGTGACTAGATGACCCTTGAGCACTATTATCTGGGGGCCATTTGGGAAGGCAATCAGGAGAATGTGATCTGTTGACCAGAGCTAGACTCAGCAAGTGGAGAATTCTCACTCTTCCTACTTAGAATATCTGTTTCATTTGCTCTCTGTGTGTCCACAAACTGTCCCAGGGATACAGCCTTGGGAAAATGTGCTGTGATGGATAGTTTTGTTGAGACCTTTTGAATTATATATATTTAGACAGAACTAAGGCTTATATAAAAGTTTTGAGATTTGGTGGTGGGGTTAGGGGTTGAGAGGTTATGAAAAACTACTGCCTCATGGTCACCCAAGGCAATCTTTATAAATATAAAGTTCCCTTGCTCATTAAAACTGCTATCCAGCATTCTAGAGTGTTCTGCAGTTTTCTTCAATTTCTCCCTGGCCTTTGCACCCTGATTTCAATGGATAGGGACTGGTTTCAGATTATATCCAGGAAGCTGGGAAGTTTCCAAGGAGGTTTTGACCCAACAAAAACACTAAAACAAAGCACAAAAATGGGGGATGTATCTGGTATCTGGCTGGAACAAGACAGCCTCAGCTGGGGACGTGAGTAGCCATGATTCAGATTTTGTGCCACTCTGTATAACTGGAAGTTCTGTGATTATGATTTGGAGGTTACAAATTTCAGCAAATATGTGAATGTACAGATAGAATCCATGTATGAGGGTCAATTGTAACTTGGCATCACAACGTACAGTGTGATGTACGTTACCCTTACTTGAAAGAATAGAATGGGGGCTCTGTGAGGGTAAGGGATTTTCCGTTTTGTTCATGCTGTTTGGGGTGAGAAGCTGGAATAGTGCTGCACACAGTGGATGCTCAGCAAGCTGGTATTTGTTGAGTGGATTAAGGAATGAAAAACACTCAAACCAATCATCACAGATGAAGCTGCTTTTGTATCGCTGGACTGTGACAGCTATAATTCCACAATTATTACAATGAGATGTATGAAGGGGGAAGAAACCTTCAATTTCCAGCACTTGGGAGAGGTCTGGAACAAGGGTATCAGAATTCAACAACAGAATCTTGTCTATTGAACAAAGGACAGAGAATAAATGGTGTGAGTCAACTCCCTGCCTACTGGTACCTTCTGGCAGGAGATCCTCAGGTTCACGGTGAGAAGAGAACATCAGTAGCTGGGTAAGGTTTGAGATCGGCTCCGGGAAAGAGGCTGAGTTCAGATAAAGGTGGTTAGGTGATAATTGACATCTCCTCCCGGTCTCTGCTCTCGGATATCGAGTTGATTATGCTTTTTAAATACTTGATGAATTCCATCCGAATCTCTTCAGGATCATCTTCAAGATTTGAGTGCACCAGCTTCAGCCTATTCAAAGGTGGTGCTTAAAAAACAAAGTAAATCAGACTTAAATGATGAATAAGGGTCATTGCTAGCCTCAAACTTAAAGATGCCAATTTGTTAAAACTTTCTAAATCCCTCAAATAAAGGTGTGTGTGTTTGACAGAATGTAAGAGGATGGTTTCGCCATACCGTCACCTGGCAATAGGATAGCGATCCGGCAAGCTATTTCCGGGTCCTCTTTGTTCTCATGCCAGAAAGGAAAAGAATTCTGAATACTGTGAGTTGTTTCCCATGACCACATTGTGATGGTGTGTGTCACATGCAAATTGGAGGTTTTGTCTTGTGCCTGATAATACTGCTAGTGGCTGAAACCAGGCATCTTCCCTGTAGCATGTGCCCTTTTTTTTTTTTTTTTTAAAGATTTATTTATTTATTTATTCATACAGACCAGAGATGCGGAGGGTGAGAGAATTCACCAGGGACAGGGTGGGGAGCAGAACAGGCAGACTGACGAAGTGCACTGCTGAGGGGAATAATGGCCCAGACAGGAGCGGTTCTACTGTGCCATGTGGATCTCCTCCAGGGCAGGCGGGGATCGAACTCATGCGGAAGTGGCTTAAGCTTCTTAGTGTAGTGCGTTAACCCGCTGCGCCACCAGGGAGGGCCACGTCTGCCTATTTTTAGAGAATCTATATTCTTGCCTAGATGGCCTGGCAATTTTGATTTGCATGATGAGAAAAACAAATGCCTAGGACACAATAGGTGCTTAATACACCTGTTCAAAAGCTGTTCAAAGCTGCTGATTTCTAGACACAGAGAAATGTACAAATAATGAAAACAGGTGCCTCCCTGGTGGCGCAAGGGGTTAAGCACGCTATCCATGGCCACTGCAGCACGAGTTCCATTCCCAGCCAGGGAGCTGATCCACCCACTGCTCCCCTCAGCAGTGTATTTCAGTCAATTATCTTTTGTGCTCCCCACTCTGTCTCTGGTGAATCTTCTCACCTGCACCTTTGGTCTGTACCCCAGTTCTTGTATGCATAAATAAATATGTCTTTAAAAAAATACTGAAAACATTTAAGACAAAAGCAGAAAGAATTCTAGCTTCCTTACACAAAGACAGGTTTCCTTTATCACTTCCTGAGCCCGGTTTGTGATGTGCAACTAATAGGCACTGGGTGTCCTGTAAGAACTGCTGCTGGACAAAGCAGGAATACCACATCTCTATTTCCTTCAGGTGACTCGGGAGGTCGGCGTTGAAGACGATCACCACTCCGTGGGAGTCTTTCATCAGGGCTGGCCAGCAAGACTCGAACCTACAGGGTAGAAAAGGATTCAGGGTGAATATTCAGTGGTTCTAGTTTCTAATGGTGGACTTTAAATATCCTAGTATTCATGAACGGATGGGTGACTTCTCATTTTATCCTGACCCGGTCATTAGGACTTGATAAGCAACATGTGCTACCAAATAATGCGCAGGTTTTGATGAATGCTAGGAGCCATGCTCGGCATAAGTTCCAGGTGCCTGGCAGGCAGCTGAGTTTTGAATCACTTGAGGAAACAAACCTTTCTTAAAGGGAACGTACTTTTGATGGCCACCGCAATCCCATAGTTCAAATTCACACCCTGTGCCTTTGTTGTTGCTGGTAACATGTGGATTCTCAAATTCCAGGATCCTAAAAATAAAACAAAGAGCAGCACTTCTACTCAGGAAACATACTTTGGATGTGCCACCAAAGTAGGGGGTGGGTGATGGAGAGGGACTCTCTGGGACAGAGTTGTCAGAGCTTACCTCACTCCTTGGGTGGGGTTATATTCTGTGATGTCAGAAGATTCTGTCAGGAAGTTGGCCAAGACAGTTTTACCACTCTGTGGATAGGAAAATGATAAAAGGTATTTGCTGAAGGGTAGAAAAGTAAACCATCAATGAGCCCAGCCATGGCTAGCTTAGACTACGCCGCGGCCTCTCCAGAATGCCAGGGCAGAGGGCTACATCTGGCTGGCTGGATGGACCTAGCTGTACTGTGATGGGACCTGTCCCATGGAACAGGGGTTCCAGTACTGGCTCTACTGCTGGGGGGCTTTACCCACAGTGATGACCCCCATTGGCTCTCAGTTAACCTGAAAACAAGGGGAAACAGTGGTTAGTTTGCATCTCTATCCTCATTTGCTTCTTTCCTGTCTTCACAGAAATGAAGCCACTTAGGCTTCCCAGAAAGGGGAAGGCAGTTCAAAGTCACACAGAAGTTCAAAGTCAGAGCTGGGCCTCTGGTCTAGGAACTCCCGGTTAACTGTACCACGCTCACATAGCATTGTTTTGCTTCTTAGACAGGAGAAAATGCATTCATATAAAACAAAGTTAGGAAAAGACCACTTCTGATTTTCCCCCATACATCCATCTGTCTGTCCATCCCATTCCCTCCCCAAGGTAACAACTATGATCTGTTTTTCAGATATTTACATCATTCATTTCATTTAACAAATATTGTATATGCCTGACTATAAAGCAAGTTTTTCCTTCTTCCAAATTATTCCTCAGAAGAACAGGACTCTCTTGCATTTGAGTCCTTATAAAAATCAAAGCATGCCTCACTCTATTTGAAATCACTGCTCGATTGGAAAGACCTGAATCAATGCCAGGCTCCGAGTCTTGGGACCTAACTCACAGTGGTCAACTGACACAATCAGAAGAAAAAAGAAGGGGGGTGGGTGCTTAACCTGTGGATGTGGCCTCACAGATGAATATCCTTAAAAACAGCACAGCTAGTGATTATGCTTATGAAGACTGAGTATTTATGTGTAGGATAAATGAATAAAGTAAAGTGCCCTGAGGTTACAGGGACAGTTCCTGGAGCTGGGATATAGTTCCAGACAGGGCCATACTCATATTCAAAAAGTGCTGCATTTAAATCACTTAAGATGATGAACTCTGAGCTCTGACAGGGGTCACAGTGGTTCTACTCACAAAGACAACTCAGGCTCAAAGTTACAGATGAGGAGGGTGAATAAAAAGTGGCAAGAAATGCAAGAATGGAATAAAAACAGCATTTCTAATTACTCTGTACCTGAATGCACCTTTAAATGTACATCAATACATAAGCTGCAAACAGCTTCATAGAGCTGAGACATAACCCTCTATGCCACCAGGGAGGCCCAAACATGTTACCAACCTTCTCAACTCTTCTCATCCCATCTTATGAGTACCATCTTTTTTTTTATGTTCCAGAAACTGTGCGCCTGCACAGCCTCTCGTACTTCATTACAATTGAAGTTCTTGTGTGCCTGTCTGCACTGTTCTGTTGAGTTGTTTCTCTTTACTGATCCTTAAACTTTCCTTGTGTGTTCTACCTATCATTTCTTTTCTTTGTATTTTGCCTTTAGCTCTTCAGGTTTTCACTCCCTGTCATTTCTTTTGAAGTCTTCTGTAATTTTGTGTTGTGCTTATGAAGAGCTCCATATCTCAAGATCCAAAATGCATGTTTCCACAAATTCCTCCACTACAGTGATTCTCAATGTCAGGTCTCTGGGAGAACAGCATCAGTGGAATGTGAAATCACAGGTCTTTTCAGTACCTACTGGGACAAACTCTGGGAGCTGAACCAAGGAATGTATGTTTTGTTTTTTTTTTTTAAGATTTACTTATTTATGCTAACAGAACTGGGGTACAGGTCAGAGGTGTGGTGGGTGAGAGGATTCACCAGAGACAAGAGTGGGGAGCAGAACAGGCAGATCGACCAAGTACACTACTGAGGGGAGCAGCAGGCGGGTCAGGAGAGGTCTGCCGGGCCTTATGGATCACCTAGGGGTAGGTATCCAACACATGCTGAAGTGACTTTAGCTTTTTAGCTTTAAGTGACTTCATGTGACTTTAGCTTTAACCCGCTGGGCCAGCAGGGAGGGCCCCCGGTGAAGTTTATTTTTATGCATGGTGTGAAGTACACAATGATTTGATTCTCACTGCCGCCACCTCCCACCTATTAATAGCCAATTATCCCAAGACCACATAATATTTCTAGTTTTCCTCCTGGTTTTCTTGTCCCACAGACATATTCCTTGCAACCACGGATGCAAAGGAAGAGACGTGAGATCTAGGTTCTGGTTCCATAATGTTCCTCACTACCTTGGGTTTGCGTTTCAGTAAAACCTGTCAAAGTCTGGAAGCATCGAAATGACAGTGCGGCCAGGGGCGTACTGCAGGTGGGCGCGGTGCCGTGGGGTTCTTGCTTCTCGCGGGGCTCCCCCACAAGGCATAGCCCATGGTGCTCTCCGCACTCTCCTGGGCCGGGTTCACCTACCCCGCCGCCGCGCTCCGCCCTGGCCTCACCTCGCAGGGCCCCACGAAAAGGATCTTGGCCTTCAGCATCGCCGACAGTCTCCCGATGGCCCAGAGAGCCCACGATAGCACGGCTCCAGGTCGCAGTCTTCTAGGCCGCGCGGAAGCAGCGGCGCAGATCGGGTACCTTTGTTTCCATGGAGACGCTGGGGAGCGCAGAGGCCGACGGGAGTGGGCGGGCCGGGGTTGCTCGGAAGGTTCGTGGACCGACGCCGAGCTCACTGCAGGCCCGCTGGGGTTTGGGGCTTGGGGCTTGTGGTGGGCGTGCGAGGCGCAGGGAGAGCGCTGGAGGGAGGGAGAAGACCCAGGACCCAGACTCCCTTCTGAGCCCGGGGACCTGCAAACTGGGGCCGCTCTCAAGTAGAGATGCGAGAAATGAGGCTCCGGAGGGAGCGCCGTGTGTGTGTGTGTGTGTGGGGGGGGGGGAGCCCCCTCTATTTTTCACTGTTACTCAGAAAGATCAAACTTGCCACGTAGCTGGTGAGCAGGAGTTGGAACCAGACGTTTGACGTCTTGTCACTCTGCTGTGTGTCCACGGCGCGAAAGGGTTTATCAGATCCCTCCCTGCCATTTTGGAAAAGATAGGGGGTGGGGGAGGGCGAAATGAAGATTCTGGTCTCTATAAAGGGATTCACCACTGCCGGTCTTTCGGCTGATCTGGGAGAAACAGGATAATGCCTTGGCGCGCTTGGTTCAGTGTAGTGCAGGTGTCTGGAAGCGTTGCTGATAAGTTGAGTCATTAGGTCAGCCTGAAATTACAGAACCGGCCCAGAATTTTGGATGAGACCATGGAATGAAGTGTCTATGCGCCCACTGTGCTAGTATACTCTGCCCCCGCCCCCCAAGCTCTGGCATGACAAGTAAAATAAACCCAATACCAAATCTTACATAGTCTTTGTATTACAAAATCTACTACGGGAACTAAGGAAGAGACCACCTCAATTTCAAGCCATCATGAACAGACTGGTCCGTAAATAGCTTTTGAATCCCCACTTAAAACACAACAGTCTTCTAGATGTGGGAATGTACCTGTATCTGTTGAAGGGGAGTACATAGATATTAAGTAAACAAGGAAATAAAAGCATGCTGTCAAGGAGAGGTAACTTTAACCAGTGGTTAAAGATAGGTCACCTAGGAGTTAGAGTATGGAGGAGCAGATTTAGGATGGAGCGGTCTAGGCAAGCCTTCTGTGCAAGGTGACATTGAAGCAGAGCTGTGAGTGAATAAGAACTCAAAAAAACCATATGAAAGACCTGGGGGAAGAATGTTCCAGCTGACCTGCAAGCGCAAAGAGGCTGAGGTGGTAATAAACTTGACATGTTCCAAGCAGCCCTGAGGGCCCCCACATCCCTGCAGGAAGACTTTGAGGGAGACCCTAGTAGGGGGTGCCCTTGGAGAGATTTGGCTGTAGGAGTCCTTCAAGCTGGTTCCTGTGTCCTTTTGAAATCCTGTCTATCCTTCTGTGAGCTCTTCCTTGCTTTTTGGCCCATGACATGCTCCCAGATGGTTATTTTTATTAGTAATGCTTCGTAACCATCAAATATTACACACATTCTTTTGTCTCTATTAAAAATCGAAAGTTTCAAAAGTTCTACAAACCTCAAAAAGTTGTTCCTTCTCACACCTGGAAAAATTGGAAGTTTTGCCTTCCCTCACTTTTTGGCATGAGATATTTATGTTGATCTATGGCTGGACTTTGGGAGAACCAGTGCCAGGTACTTGGGGAGCGGCTGGGTTCAGAAATGGATCTGCACATCCATCCCCGGGGAGCTCTTCTGGCTGGAGAGGCCCACCTGTGTGGTGCTGTGCGCTATGTCAAGTGCTTTCCTGTATTGAGTCTCAAGATTCAGTTTAGAGATACTACTAAAAGGTAGATGATGAGTTGTTTTCCTACAGTGATCTCATGGAGTGGGCAGTGCCTGAAGCTTTACAACAACTCCAGTTCTCCTTTCTGTGTAAAAAAAAAGCCAAGTCCCCGCTGTGGACAGCTGTTGCGTCCAGAGCCTAGAGGCTTCTTCACCCCCGTGCGCTGTGTCCTCTTTGAAGGGTTTCATCTATGTTTGGGTCCACTGGACCGAGCCCAAAGCCTGCTGAGCACACTAGGTAGGTGTTCAGTAAATATCCCTGTGTCCTCCCTTCTCCCAGTACACATGGAAGTGCACACACAGGCACGTGCACGCACATACATATTCATTTACCCTATAAATATTTAAGTTAATGAATGTTCCCTTAGACCTTCCAGGGGACTTCAGTTTTTGTTTCCAGGTAAGAGAAATAAAATATGTGACCTGCTTAATGTTTCTTGGATACATGCACTCTATAAATTTGGGATTATTATTGTAGATTATTGAAATACTTTGGTTTATGACTTTCGTTTTAATTAGAAGAGGTTGACTTCAGACAACTTAATTCCCGGTCTTTGGTTCTAACGGGAGCAGTCTGACATTGGCAGGGGCCAGGACTGGATGACCTAAGAGCAATATTTCTCCTGATTTTGTGACTTGCTGCAATAAAATCTCTCACTTAAAAAATCTTAAAGAAATATGTTTGACATATTTCAAATCCTTTCTATAAATTGTTGAAAAGATTTAATAAAACCGCCCATCATAAAATCTTTAATTTGAGTTGACCCTTGATGGTCTCAATTCTTACACATGCAGTTTTTATTACTAAAGAATAAATTGTGGATTTCCTGTTATTCAGGAAAATAAAAATGCCCTTCAATCACCTCTTCACACAGCAGAGATTTTAATCTATTCAGTTTGACTCTCATAGATAGGAATGATCACCAAATGATCTATAACCTGGAAATATTTTGTTCTCTGTTAATACAGACATCTCTTATTATCTTTTTAATAAAGGACTAGCCAGAAATGAGGTTCAGCAAGTTTGGTTTAGGGCACAGTCAATAAAATAAAAATGATTTTTTATCAATTCCCCTTAGAAAGCCTGAGCTATGCTCTCAATATGAAAAATATTTCCCAGCAGATTGAAGATAAAACTTTTGGCAAAGACAAAACAGGGATGTGGCTTACCCAGGACATTTTGTCTTCATCTGGCCTGGGGGAGGCAGTTATGCAGGGGAAAGAGTAAGACAAAATTTGAAATTAGTTGCATGATCTTAAGATTATTTAAATTCTTGGGTTCAAAACGGTCTCCATGATTCTCACTTCTTGGCATTCCTGCTCTTGTGTACCCTTCCGACAGGGTACTGAGCTATAAAACTGGCTGGCTCTTGAGGATAATTCTGAACCTGGATCATAAAAAGACATGGTAGCTTCTGCCTTTCATGCTCTTCCATCAGCGATTCCAGGGCATGCCAGTTGCCAAATCACAAGGATACAAGCATCTGTGTAGAGAGCGCTACATGATCAGAAACTGAGTTCTCCTGACTGTCAACTGGAATCAATCCTTAGCCATGTGGGAGCCATCTTGTAAGTAAGTTCTTCATCTTCAATCAAGCCTTTGAATGATTACAATCTTGTGAGCTAGGACTGCACAACTAAGCTGTCCCCAAATTCTTGACCCATAGAACTGTATGAGATGAAACATGTTTATTGTTGCTTTAAGTTGCTGTTTGGGGGAATTTACTAGGTAGTAATAGATAACTAACACAGAGCCTTAGTTTCCGGTTAACTGAAATGGAGCTTCTAAAACACTCCAAATGTTGTTAGGAGAATTGAAGGAGATGAAACATACAAGCAATTCAGTCCAACTCCTGGCATGGTAGGTGGTTGATGTGGTAACTATGGTTACTGGTAGACCTCTGAAGCCTTTATAATACATTTGTGATGCTTTTGAGTCACTTCACAGCCCAAATCAGGAGTTTTGCCACTAAAATGACTGCACCTTTTGAACACTAAAACTTTATGGTTTTTCTTTGCCTTAGTTTTTGAGGAGGGACATTTATATGTTTAATCTATCAGAAATAAATTAATTCCTCTGACTAACATATGATGTAGTCCTGCTGAAGTTTCTTTATATATCACTACTTCACTCATAGCTGAAGTTAGCTAATTTCCTGCTTTTTCAACTTAGCTTGCTCCAAATGCTGTATAAAACATTTGCTTACAATGAATATTATGTTCATTGTATTTGCTACTGTCCATTGATTGAATGGGCAACTTCAAATTCCAGCTGCAGTCAGTACCTTAGGAAGCTTTCATTTCCACACCTTCCACACTGTGTTTTTGTTCAAGAACTAGTTGGATCATGCGGGTGGCACACTGGTGGCTTTGCCTCGGAACTGCTGCGACTTGGTGGAGTGGCAACTTGTATGCTTTCATAGAAATGTTACAGGGCCTGCTTACATAGGTGGAGGTGGGAGTTCCAAGTGGCCCCTTCGTGCTCTGTCTACCACTTTCCTCACCTTCTCCAGAAAGAAACCATTGTTTTAATTTCTCATGTATTCTTGCACTATTTGTGCCTATAAGCAAATATTCTATATGGTCTTTTTCTCCTTTTATTGTATAGAACATATACGCTATATAATCTGTTCAACATCCTCCTCTTCTTCCTTTAGCAGTTGCCACAGGGGAGTGTTCATCTCCTCTATGCCCTCTGCATTGTGTGGTGTGTGTGGGAAATGTGCCACTTTAATTACCCAGATCCATTTTATGTAGATTGGTGCACATTTTGGTGCTTTCCAGCCTGATACTATTGTAAGCCATGCTGCAGTGAATGACATTAGAGACACCTCGTTTCTGACCGGTGCTGGTTTATATGTAGGATAAATTCCCAGAAGTGGGATTGCTGGGTCAAAGGCTAAATGCACTTTCACTGTCAATAAATAGTGTGTGAACCTGCCCTCTCTTGTTGCACCAGCAACACCACACTGCTAAAGAGAAGGGAGTTGTGGAGGACGCTACACAATGCAGGATGCTGCTGAAGAGCAAGCTGGCCCTTTTATCAATAGAATGATCATACAGTATCAGTTGTATGGGGAAGTAGGAAAAAGGAAAAGGGGAAGAGTGGAATTGTCAGCTATAGTGGTAGGGAAGGGAGTCTGCTCTCCAGGTGCTTCTCACCTGCTTGATGGCTCAGTATTACAATTCAGATCAAGCCCTAGCTCCTCCTCTGTCAGGCTTTCAGTCTTAACAATGAGGTGTTCCACTGGTCATCTTCTTGGGTC